TGAATGGAAAACTAATTAATACGATTCAGGTATTATCAATCATAGTTTTCTCATTTGTTTTATCTCCATCTCTGAGATTTATTAAGATATTTTTCTTTACAGCCATTGTGGATGCTTGATCCAAAAGATATCACGCCATTACAACATGCGGAATTTTACCGATTTATAGGAAACTGCTTTGATTCACCAAGATTTATTCTGCATTACTCGACGGATGCGCCGTTGAATATCAAAGCTCTGCTATATTTCCCGCAGGAAAAGCCTGCATTGTTTGATCTGGCGAGAGACACTACCAGTGGAGTATCGCTTTATAACCGAAAGATTCTAATTAAAAGCAAAGCGGAAAATATTTTACCAAAATGGTTACGTTTCGTTAAAGGCGTAGTAGATTCAGAAGATATACCATTGAATTTAAGCCGCGAATTATTGCAAAACAGCCTATTGATTGGGTGAGATTAAATGTCTGATATGTTTATATTATTTATTACTACATATAATATAAAAACGCATATAATTTTGATAGAAAACTGCGGAATGTGTTGACCGCACGTATATTAAAATTCTTACATGAGCGATCTACAAAACAGCCAGAAGACTATGACGAATTTTATAAAACCTATGGCTTATTTTTGAAAGAGGGCATTATCACTAGTAATGATCAATCTGAAAAGGTATTAATTGTATTTCTCATGGATATTCTCATGGATTTCTCATGAATAAAATGTATCGATTTATTAATTTTGTGTTTCATTATATAGGAAGATATAGGTAAACTTTTACGGTTTGAATCTTCTGCTGCTGCTCCGGGAGAATTAGTTAGTCTACCGCAATATTGTAGTCGTCTAGCAAAAGATCAAAAGGATATATATTATTTATCAGCGCCGAGGTATAGTAAAATTCAGTCTGAATAACTCGCATTAACCGTCGCGTTCAACAGAATGTTTATTTTGTTAAAAATCTCAACAAAGAAAACTTTTAATATATAATAAACACATCTGCTGGACATTAATTAATCGACATTAATGATCTGAAACAATCACATTTATGTTACAGCCGAGCTCTAGCCGAACAATCGCCGTATTATGAATCTTTAAAAAAACGAAATATCGAAGTTCTGTTCTGTTATGAACCATATGATGAATTGGTATTAATGCATTTGAGACAGTATAAATCTAACTTCTTGACATCTGTAGAGAAAGAAATGCGAGATGATACGGAAGCAAATAAGCCAGAGAATTTAGGTTTCTGAGAGATATCTTACATGATTTTATAAATTAATTAGACTGTTAAAAATAATTTTTGTATTCTGTATATAGGTATTATAAATAAAGATGAGCTAGATAATCTTGTAAACTATATGAAAAAGATTCTGGATAAAAAAGCATATGATGTGAAAATGACAAACCGTTTGGAATCACATCCTTGTGTTGTAACCGTACAGGATATGGCAAGCGCTAGATATTTCATCCGCACGCAGAGCCAACAAATGAATGAAGAAATGCGATATTCCATGCTTCAACCACGCTTTGAAATAAATCCAAATCATCCTCTCATCAAAAAACTATGTAAACTAACAACTACAGATACCGAATTAGCTGATCGCCTGATACAACAGGTAAGTGGAAATAAAAAAATTTATATTTAAATGCTTTATGATATTTTGTCTCTTAAATAAGTTTTATCATGTCAAATTATTTGTCATTGCAGTTGTTTACCGGTGCCATGGTTGGAGCTGGTTTAATCGAAGATCCGCGTATATTATTGACGCCTATAAACGAGTTACTTACTTTAGCATTACAAAAATATTAAAATATAGAGTAATAAATCGAGACACGTCGATGTTTGGATGCAAATTGCAATCGTTCCAAGACAATTTTTTTTAATATGAAAAATTTTAAAATATAGAGTAGTGGACCACATTTTGATGTTTGTATATTTGTATAGAGACTGCAATTGTTTCAAGATAATTTGCCTTAATATGAATGTATTGAATGCAGAACTCTTACATACAAAGTCACGTTTGTATAAATCGGTTATTTCTTCCATCCCCCGAAAAAACTTAATCCCCCCGACAGCACGTTCATCTTCTTCGCTAATAGCGCTATCAGCTATCACAATTAGACGCGCGGATCCTTCAAATCATTCGATTCGTACGCGTTGTACGCATTCGTCTCGAATATAGTTCTTGATTTGGACGGAAGTTATACGAACCAACCAGTCGCTGTCGGAATGTAACTTCAGTCGACATGGATGATCATGTTGTGTGATTTAAAAATAAAAGAATATTTTTCTTTATATCTGTACATATTTCTTTTATAAAAAAGTAATGAATGTCCAAGGATATCGCATAAATCAATCAGTTATATATTTTATTTTTCAATAAAAATATTGATGTGAATGAAAGGATGTAACTTATTGTAGGCAAGATTGGTTTCTTTATTACAATAGGTTGATCTTGTACAAATTAATTATAGCCTTACAATAATAACAAGTCAAGTTCCTCATTTTCTTAAAAGATTTCATGATATCGATATGTATTCTATTAGCAGGGCTAGATGTTATGGCGAATTTAGACATTGTACCCATGTTTCCCACGTCCTATCGTAACTTATAACTTTAAAAGTATAGAAACTGTTCAAATTGGCAAGCAATAAATAATTTTATAAAATTATTTATTCCTCATTCTCTGTTTCTCTAATTTTTAAAGAACATAACTCGTGAGTAAGTAAGCCTGGAAAAAAATAAATAGTGTATCGAAAGTACATACAAACAATTACAAAGTATATACAAACGATTTATATATGCTTTCAATTCAGATTGTAAGTGATCGTAAAAGAAATTAAAAATTATCGCTTTTAATGCTATTAATTCATGTGTTGGGAAATTCTAAAAGACGGGTTTTAGCGATTTTTTAAGATCACTAAACGATTCATATACTATTTATAAAAAGTCCGCTGTCACATCCATAATCTTCTACTTTTACAGTCTTTGACCAATGTGCTTCGTCGTTTTTTTTTTTTCTTTAAATAAAACTAATCTATATATGTTATATGTATCTGTGCTTCATGTTACTCACTGAAATTTTATATTTCTTATCGTTATCGAATTATTACAACTGGCGGAATCGACTCTACGTTCTTTTCATTTCTTAAGATCCTTAAAAAGATAATAAAGTTATTAAAAAGTTTCATTGTACGAACGTTAATATGTGATCCCTTAAAATTTCAGAAAGTAGAAGCACAGCCGATTTTTTTTTAACTTATACGAGGACAGACGATGCTTTTGCTCTTGGTCAACATAAAAATCACCCTGTTTAGCATTATTATTAATGTGATTCGCTAATGTATCCTACCAAATATGCAGGATAGCTGGCATCCTTTACAGAACAGGAACATAAAATCGAATTTCTCAACAAAATTCTACTATTCTGTGTATAAAACAAACATGTATACCTCACCCAAATAAGCTGCCGCTATACAATATCCATTAGTGAAAAATATGTCTAAATGGAAGTGTCAATGAGTAAAAAACCTTAGACGCGTAAAAGATCTGTTCCTTGATTCTTCTATCTCCTTTATACAAATTAATCGAAGGAAATGCATTGCTTATATGGCATTAAGAATTAATTGGCAGTTTTAAAAAGTATTCCGTTATATATTATATGGAGTTTCTATGATGAAGAATATATGAGATGTGAATGGCAGATTGGTAAGGAGCGCGATGAGATAAATTATCTCGCGCCGCTGAGCAGTCTTATTAAAGAATAGATAGATGATAAAGCGTGATGTAAATAGTAGCACCATGTATGCAGATTTATCGGTCGTACTGATGGTGACGAATAAAGAGATAAAAGAAAAAAAATGTTAAATAAATGGAACGTTGACTTAGCTTACGTATACACGAAGGAGGATGTCGTCGCCCCTCCCATCGCTCTTTTTTTCCCTTAGATTTCTGTTATAAAACGTTGGATAATTAACATTGCAATTATTATGATACAAGTCATAATATTTGATCATCGTATAAACATTATTATCATCACAGTAAAAATATTTCATTATATTTTTTTTTAACTATTAACCTGCGCCAACACACGCAGTCACACACACGTCGCTCCTTAACACGGAGGAGACTGTTCTTTTTCACTAGAGTCCATTTACTTACACGCTAATCTACTACTTTTTACTTAATATATGCGTTATTAAGTAGTCCGTCGGTTCATTTATATACGTAACCAAAATAAAGTCAGTTAGCAAATAGTAAAAATACATAAATGTACCTATGTATCTTTTGCACTGGAATTATAGTTGTTGTTGGATTAACATGTTAAATTTAAACGATAGATCATTAAACAATAATCATTGGTCTGACGACACGGTCGTGATTAATTTTACTTTTCTCGAGTAATGAATCTTCCTTTTCTTAATCAAGGTGATTTCTTACATATGTACTCATAATTGCCATAGTCTATTTTTTTCTAGTAAATCTCATCTCCTTGGTAGAGTCGAAAGAAATATTTTTAATTGTTGTGAAAATAAAACAATATTAAGCATATGTGTAGTATGTAGCGTTGCAATTATGTATGTACGTTTTCTCTTGCTTAAGCAAATAATTTATATTTATGAAACTTATTAACATCTTGCGATTATATAGAAGATGAAATCATGACTTGGAAATAGAAAACATACGAACATTATATGTTCAGATACCTTTTTTTCTACAATCAAGTCATAAAAATTACAATGCTCTACATGTCGAAGTCCATCTGTTCATGTATATTAATATAACAAAATATGTGCTGCATTCGATAATAATAAAATAAATAAAGTAGAAGCTCTCTAAATTTTTTCATTGATTCCAATGACGTGAAGATGCAATTGTAGGACATATAACTATTCACGATTAGTTTGCAGGATTAAGTACGCTGATGTGTGCTTGAACTCTACCTGTATAGGAGGAGATTTGAGGCGTGATGTATTTCCGCGACGGTATACATCATACGCGCGAAAGTGCGTCCAGAACACGCCGGTGGCTCGCACAACGGTTCCTTACTTCATAGCTGCCTGTACAGACTGTCTTACTTGTCTACGGCGATATAACACTCTATATACAAAATTGCATATTCACAGGCATCCGCGCGTCTCGATCGTAGAAGCACGGAGAAACACGCTCTCGCACGTTTCAGTCTATCTGCGTACTTCGACACCACCGTTTGTCACACTGGAGTCTGCGTGATGCCGGTCCCCGACAGCCACAGGCGCCCGTTGCTCTTCTGATCCGCGATCTCGTATTCGGAATCGTCGATCTCGCACAGATTCGTGGAGAGATCGCTATTGCTGGTTGCGCCGCCCAATAGCGAATTCCTCTCCTCCAACGTGGTGATGACCGAGCCGACCTCGTCCTCCTCGATCGCCTTGTGACATCGGTTACGGCGGGTGCTTGGAAAACCATAAGGCACTACGTCGTCTTCCTCCTCGTCGGACTCGAGGGTGCTGAGACGGCCGTTGAGCGGGTTCGTCTCGTTCTCGGTATCGGTATGGATATTATAATGCGGCAGGTACGTGTTCGGATGACGCAGATAGCTCTCGGAACTCTTGTACTTGTATTCCCCCTCACCACCGCTGTCGAGGGGATTTAGACGCTGCGTCTCCGCGCAATGATACTGCTCCGAGAACTCAGTTCCGCATTCGGAATCTCCGACGTATTCCGATTCCTGATCTTCATTTAAGGTCTCGATGTCTCTCGTCGGATCTACCGGACCGTGCACTATAACAGATTTGCAGAATGTCACATTTCTATACAGGGTATGTTGCATATAACAAGAGTTTTGTAATTGTTATAATTAATATTGTTAGTAGAGGAATAACAAGCTAACATGAAAAATTTATAGTTGTAACATTATGTTTTTCATTACAAATGATTGATTATGATATTCGTTAGTCTTAAATTTATTATTTTTTTATCATATATACATATTTTAATATGAAAATAATATTAAATATATCAATCTATTCTACAATGTTAATTTAGAATGTGCATTGACAAGACTACCAGATAGTGATGATCTAACATGATCTACAAGTTTGCTATTAAACATAAACTTTACTTGTAATGTTAAAAATTAAAGCAAATATTACAGTACGTACATTACATGATGCAGACGTATCAATACGCATGCACTTCTATACTTACTTATTGGTAACTGATGAGTATTAGACTCATTACTCTCATTGCTATGAAAGCTGGACGAGTCTGGGACCTCGCTGCCGGGTACCTCCGTGATGTTAGGCAAGGGATTCTGACTCGGTCTAACCCAGTCTGAGCAGTCCCAGTGATACCCTAAAAGCATTGCAGACAACGACTGTACTCCGACACGCTACATGCGATGCAGCATAGTGATGTGCAGTGAAGTGGAAGGCAGAGATTGCGGTGCGAGAGCAAATAATAGCACTCGAGATTGGAGGTGGATAGTGCAAGCGAAGAAGCAAAGACCCAAAAATGTATACCGAGTGTCCTGAGATTGCGTATTGTTAACCAGAATATTTCTGATTGAAATTTCTAAAATTCTACTGAAAATCGATGACATATTTTTGTTTAATTTTTGACATCCTAATTCTCTCTTACCTTGTGTCTATAAAATTTAATTATATTAAGCTTCCTAAATTTTAATTTTTAAAAGAAGATGCGCGACTCTCGAAGAACACTCTGTATCTCGAGCCGTATGAGCGAGTTATCTCGACTTACCGCCGACGATGCGAGGATCATCCTCGATGGACGTGACGGAGGCAACGGAGGACCCAACCGCATGAGGCGCCCGTCGAGAAGAGTTTAGTAGAAGTCCTCCAGTGGTCAGCTCTGGTACCACTGGGCTCGCTCGTTTCAGGTCTGTTAGTGCACATAACACGAAACACGCTGGTGTTAATAGAATAATCTGCTACGCCAATGACGGAAATATCGTAATAAGAGAGGAAAGAAGAGAAATAGAGAGCCATGAGTAAGAGAGTGAGAAATGTAAATAAAGTTTCATCGAGGAGATAATAAAAACGGGAAAACGCCTAATGCTCTTCCCCTTACGATTGCATGCCACAAGCGAAATCAAAAGTAAGAAGCTACCGGACCGAGCCGAGAGAATGATTCTTCTTACGCGATCGTGTACTCACCATTCTTGATCTTGGTGGTGTCGGTTATAAAGGAGGCCAGCTGCATCTGTTCCTGCCAAGTGGGCTTGTGCAGACTGTCCGTGTCGCTGCCAGTTGCATTCCCACCGACCGGGTTAGCGAGGGTCAGGGACGGAGGTGGTACGGGGGTGCTGCGATTCAGGTTCCGCAGGTAATCTGGCGGGAAATTTTCTAGCTCGTCGCCCGCGCTGCCGTAGCTGCGCAGGGTGTCCAAGTTATTTAGAGCCACTGCCGCCGAGTTACCATACGTGGCCGGCTCGTTATTCGAGCTCGGAGTGTAGGAGGCGGGTCTAGGAGGGCATTGGGGAGGTTCTCTCTGTAAAAAGAAAAATTACACGTAGACCTTAAACGGGATCGCCGCCATAACGAGGGCACTGGAGGAAGTGTACCACGTTGGCAAATCAAATAATTGCAAACGAAAACTATAAAATAGCATGAATGTTGATTTACTAAATAGCAATTATATGCTACAAAGAATTGAAGAAATTATATCGTAATCGCGAGTAAAGTTTCTTAAAGTTTCTCATCATGCGAATATTGACATAACGCCTCCGAATGAGATATACGTTGGCCCTCGAGAATTCATGCTCTTACAGCGATTAAAGTGTATCTAATCTAAACGCAAACAGTGATAGTACCTGTATGACTTCCAGATTGCTCAGCTTCGAACTGCGCTTAAACTCATGCTCATGAGATCTCGCAGAATTCAGGACGATCTGCTTCCGTGTTTCGTTATTGATGTTGTTGGCGCGCGTTCTGGTCCGCTTCGTTCTGATCCGCCAGAAGGCGACGAATATGACGATGAGCAGAACATTGAGCAGTACCGCGATGCTGATCCACATGAGATGCTCCCACGGAATGTTGAAGTTGCCGGATATGATGGGTGTGGAGAAGGCCGGGTTGCCGCAGTTCAGACCGGTCATGTTCGGTGGGCAGATACATCTGTACGTGCCGATCTCGTTCACGCAAGTGCCGCCGTTCGTGCACGGATTCGCGTCGCACTCGTTCACATCGGTCTCGCAATGCTCACCCGTGAAGCCCTGACACTTGCAGATCGGACCGTTGTTACCCTCCTCGCACACACCTCCGTGATTACACGGATTCGGGCTGCAATATCTGCCGAACTCGCAACGTTTGCCACTGAGACTCGCACCGACGCACTCGCAGGTATAATCACCACCTTCCGGCACAATCTTGCAACGGCCACCATAGAGGCAGGGTGACGAGGCGCAAGGATCTGTGTCGATCTCGCATGCTAAACCGTCAAACCGGCTGTGACATTGACATTCATAATTGTCGTTGCCCTTGTCGTTGCAGGTGCCGCCGTTCTGACACGGTTGCGAGCCACAGACACCCGGCGGTATCAAGATGGTCGCTGTGTCGCAGCTGAACTCAACGTTGGCAAAACGCTTGAGAATGGCCACACTGTTGGCACCGCTCATATGCAACGGCACAGATATTCGGGCAATCCTGACGTCATCCATGCACCCGATGAAGCCACGCTGCACGTCTTCGAAGCCAATAATCGACGGATGCTGCCTGACCTCGGCGCCCAGATACAAATCATCCGACTGCAGATTCAGGATGTCATTGATACCAGGCGCGGAACCATGAGCGATATGCTTTCCATCCACGGTTAATCGGGCGCTGTTACTCTCCCGCTCCAACTGGATTTCATGCCATTGTCCGTCACTCATGTATACGCTGCTCACTCTGACTAGTCCTTCGCCGCTGCCCAAGTCAAATTTATATTGCATTACGCCATTAACAATTTCTAGAATATTATAGTCAACTTTGCCGGCCGCATACATTAAGTTACCGGTAGGCTGCACTGTCCTGATCCTCAAGGATAAGCTGAGACGGTCTTCGATCGTTTGTCGTATCAGCGCTTTATCGATTTTGTAGCGCGCGTAACTTTTGCCGCTGAAGGATATAGGATTTCGCGGAATGTAACACGACTCATCGTGGCATTTAGAAATATCGATATCGCAAGTTTGACCGGCATATCCCTCGGGACACTGGCATGAATACCCTTGAATAGAGGAGTCTGGCACGCAAACTTTGAACAAAGGACAAGGATCTCTCGCGCACTCATTAACTACAACTTCGCAGTGATTACCGGAATATCCTTCCTTGCAATTGCATTCCATCTTGTGTTTATGCCGCGGAGATACGAAACTCATCATATCCGTAGACACGGGTGTAATCTGCGTAGGGTCAAGAGTGATCTTATCTTGACAGTCGCCATAAAAACAGTAACCCTTGTTGCACTTGAATCGGACGATTTCCTCGACAACTAGTTTTGTTGATTCCTCCAGTTCTTCTACGTGCTGATTCAACGCCTCGCGGATGCTCTCCGATGCATAGAAACCCAACGAACCCACGGGACTCGCTGCCTTCTTCACGGCAAACAGAAGATCGAGATCATTGTTCACCGCCTGGCGAATCGCTCGTGACTTGATCAAGTTTGCCTCGTCGGTCGACGGCTGCACGCTGATGATGACAATGTCCCTGAGTCGGCAATTCATCGCGTTACGAACAGTCTTGACGAAGCCTTTACGATGACTCAGCATAAAATCTTCCGGGCTAACCTCTCGGAATCTTACGATCACCGAACTTTCGAGCATCTTGTCGGTTATCAGATCGACATTGACTTTCACGATGGAATACGAGTGAAACTTGCCATCCGTTACGCTGATGTTTATTCTATATTCACCCACATCGAGTCGAGGCAGGACGATTAACGTGCCATCGACTTTATCTATTTGAAAGAGATCAGTGTTCGGCGAGGATGGCACCAAACTGAAAAGAAGGGTGTCGTACTGATCCTGATCGGTTGCGTGGACTTTCCCAATAATGCCGCCGGGATACTCATCCATATAGGAATTGATAATCACTTCGAGGGGCGTGATTACCGGCGGATACTGCGATTCTTCGATCACCTTGATTACAACCCACGCGTCCGAATATAATGGTGGGCTGCCATTATCGAACACTCGAACATGCAGCACGTACTTATCCTTCACTCTGATGTTAAATTTCGTCGCCGTTCGCAGAGTGCCGTCCTGTTCCAGTCGAAACGCGTCACCTTCATTTCCGGAGCGGAAGTCAAAAGTGTACGGCTCAGCATTCGGCTCGACATCTGCGTCGGTGACCACAAATTGTAAAACCGTATGACCGAGCGGTTTGTCCTCCTGCACAACAGCTGTGTAATTTGGTAGGGAAAACAATGGCGGGTTGTCGTTTGCGTCCAGAATTTCGATGTTCACCATCACGAAGTTCGAAAGCATTGGTATGCCGTTGTCACGCGCATGAACTTCCAAAACATAGTTAGCAACCTAAAAGATAAAATAAAACATAATAATGCATCGCATTTATGCTTACATTTATAATGTATATCGTATTTTGATACTAACTTCTTCTCGGTCCAATGACGCAGCGACGGTTATCTGTCCCGTTTTTCTATCGATAGAAAATTGCTTTTGTCTATCGCCACGTTCTATGTAATAAGATACGTTGCCATTCTCCTCGCTATCTAAATCGTTCGCATACACCTGAAAAGTTGATAAAATAAAATATAATAAGTAACATATATCCAATTTTCCAGTTATTCAATTTGACAAATTTGATTTTCTATTAATAATTGTTTATAATTTATTTCTGTTATTTTATATGCGTATATTTCATAAAAAATTCTATAACTTCTATATTCTTTTGCTTGTAAAGTGATTTTAATAGTTAATAAATGAAATAAATTGAAAATTTGAAATGCAAAATAACTTTTAGTAATAAAGCAATCGTTGGAATAAAAAATTTAACTTCCTGTTCTGCTATCTCATATATAAAAAATTCTGAGAATAGAAAAAAATATTTTATTATAAAAATGTGAACCAAAGTCCAAAATGTAAATCTCAAGTTAATCGAATAATAAATTAAGATTTAGTTGGAAAAATTGAGAAACTTACTTGTGTAACTTTTTCTCCGATCTTCGCATCTTCTCTCACGAAGGCTCTGTACAAAACCTCGCTGAAAATCGGCGCGTTATCGTTACTGTCGGTGACGGTAATATTGACAGTAGCGTGATTGCTTAGCGGCGGAATGCCTCCGTCGACAGCTTGGATAGTGAGAAAATAATCGCGAGCTCGTTCATAGTCCAACTGTTCGGCGATAGTCAAAACTCCAGTCTTGGCGTCTATTTGGAACTTTTTGTGTTCATTGCCTCCGACAATCGAGTAATATATATCAGCGTTCACTCCTGTATCCTTGGAGGTGGCGAGTACTCTTGCTACTTCAGTACCAACCGCATAGATCTCGGGCACTTTCGCGAAATAGAGTTTGGAAGTGAATTCCGGCGGGTTATCATTGATATCCTGCACGTTAACAATGAGAGAAGCAACCCCCATCAATTGCGGAGTACCTTGATCCAATGCCTGAATAGTAACGTTGTACATAGCCTTCGTTTCTCTATCTAGCGGTTTGGCCAGCGTAACTATTCCACTATCCACCGCGATAAGGAAATGACCGTCCGCCGAATCGATAAACTCATACCGGATCTTCCGATTGATACCAATATCATCGTCCGTAGCGTGTACTTTAGTTACTAAAGTACCGACTTCCACATCTTCAGGCAGAGTGCTGCTGTAGGTTGACATAGTAAATTTCGGTGCGTTATCGTTGAGATCAGAAACGAAAATCTCTAACTGCGATGAACATTCCCAAGTCGGCTTATCTCGATCTTGCACGTGTGCCGTCAATGAATACTTGGCTTGAGTCTCTCGATCGAGCTGCCCGACAGTTTTCAGCACGCCTGTTTCTTTATCTAACGAAAATTTATCATTATTGTCGCCAGTCAAATAGAATCTTAATTTAGCGTTCGGCTCATCATCGTAGTCAATGGCCAATACGGTCAATACGTAAGTACCAGGATGCGAGCCCTCGGAAAGTATCTCTCTATAACGGTATCTGAGACAATATGGCGGATTATCATTAACGTCCAAGACTTGTACCGTTACTTTTGTCTCAAAAACATATTTTCCATCAGTACCAACGATCTCAAGCTCATAACGATCGATAGTTTCTCTATCTAATGATTTTGCCACGTACACCTCGCCGGTAGATCTAATTTGAAATCGCGATCTAGGATCGCCGGATGTTATGTAAAACTCTATCGGTGTACTAATATCCGTGTCTTTATCAACGGTGATCAGTTTTTGCACAACTGTTCCCGGTAGAGCGTCTTCATTCACCGTAGCTTCATAACGATCATCAACGAATGCAGGAGCATTATCGTTATAATCTTTTAACTTGACGTGCACTGACGTTCTTGCGAAATGTTTCGGATTTCCATTGTCAGTGGCAACCACCTGAAAAAGAATATTATTATGTTTGATATATTCTTGTAAAGATACAAGTTCGCAATATCTCTCATATATCACATTTATATTACCTGAAACTTATATTCTGGTTGCTTTTCCTTGTCGAGCTGTACCAATGTTGATATCCAACCGCTATACGCCTCCACGGTAAAAACGTTCGCTAATTCGCCTATGTCGGATCCAAAGGAATAACGCACCTCGCCGTTGCTAGCAAGATCTTTATCGTGCGCGGTAACTTTTAATATAGACGTCCTTTCCTCGATATTCTCGGCCAAGTTGATCGCGTATGGATTGCTCTCAAATTTCGGCGCGTGATCATTTTCATCAAGTACCTGAAGGAAAATTTCAGCGAGAGCTGTGAGCGGTGGACTTGAATCCGTCTCAGCGAGAACACCGATCAAATGACTGTCTTTCAGCTCTCGATCCAACGGTCTCGCTAGAGTGATCTGACCGTGAGAGTCGATCGTAAAGAGCGGGTTATCCTCATCGCCGGATACTATGCGATACGTCACGGTGCTATTCGTAACGGTTTTGAGTTTCGTAATCGGTGTACCGATGGAAGAGTCCTCTCTTACGAAAAATGTATCTTCCTTCCGCTCAAACAGAGGCGGAATATCATGAGAACCCATTATGTAGATACTCAATGGTACATCGGCATGATGTGTAGTCGTGCCTTTGTCCTCCGCGCGAATGAAAAACTCGAACAATTTGTTTTCTGAAAAGGATAAATATTTATTTGTGATAAAATCTTTAAAATTAATATTATAAAATTCATTTTCTTCATAGCACATATAAAGATAAAATAAATATATCTCTTACCCCATTCCACAGCGCTCTTCTGTAGATAGAGAGATCCTGTATCGGGATTTATACCAAACAGAGACTTAGCTGGTGACGTTTGCAATTCGTAGATGGAGTAAACGATCTTAGCCGCCTCTTCCTCGTCCGCGTCCTGCGCTCTGACTTTTAGGAAGGGTGTATTCAAAGACAGATTACCTTGGATGGTCGCTTTGTACTCTCTGAGAAGAAACACGGGCGCATTATCGTTCTCGTCGCCCACCTTGACACGCACTACGACAAATCCGGATCTACCACCACCGTCGGTTGCCATAACCAGTATCTCATAGAGTTTCTGCTCCTCTCGATCGAGCTTCTTGCGTGTTACTATCTCGCCGGTGAGCTTGTGTATGTCAAATAGTTCCTTCATCATCTCCGACATTATCGTGTATGTCACTGTGCCGTATTCGCCGAAATCCTCGTCCACGGCCAGTACGCTGGTGACCAATCTACCGGGCAATTGGTTCTCCAGAACGGTCACCTCGACCAGCGGATTCGGAAATTTCGGATTGTGCCTGTTCGCGGGCAGAATTTCAATCTTAACGCGAGTGAAGCTGGTATAGACGCCGTCGGTGACGGACACGTTGAGCATGCTGAGCTTCTGCTCGCCAAAGTTCTGCATATTTATCAGCGAAATGATGCCGGTCGACTGGTCGATATTGTACGTCTGCTGCTCGTTCCCACCTACGATGGTGTACGTCAGCTTCTCGTCGACGTAGTCGGGATCGCTCGCTGATACCACCGTCACGAATTGGCCACGCTCGGCGTGCTCCGACAGGGAACAAGTGTACGAAGGCTGCTCGAACTTGGGCGGATTGTCATTCATATCGATCACGCTCACCCAAACGTGCGCCGTACTCGACAGGCTCGGCACACCGCGGTCCATGGCAATTACCGTAAAGTGATGGGATTCGCGGCTTTCGTGATCCAAGGATCGCTTGAGAAATATTATACCCTCGTCGGGATCGATGTGGAAGAGATCCGTGTTATCCTCGGTGTCGTTCTGAATGGCGTACCGAACTTGTTGATTGATGCCTATGAAAAGATGAATATGAATATGATTAAGATATTCTTTCTTTTTTTTTTCTTAAATTTTATTCATACGTACAAGTTCAGAAAAATAATCGGTTTTTTTTCAGCACGCGAAGCTTAGATTCGACGTTACGCTTACCTGTGTCATTGTCTCTAGAGCTCACTCGCAGGACGGAGGTCCCGAATGGTGCCGCCTCCGACACCGAAATGTTGTAGGAATCCTGCGTGAATTCGGGCGGGCAGTCGTTTACATCCAGGACGAGGATACTGACAAGCACCTCCGCGTAAACGCCTGACACGCTGTCGGTGGCGCGCACGGTCAGCTCATACTGCTTCTTTTGCTCATAATCCAGCTCATCCACCACATAGATTACACCTGATTTATACGAAGAGAAGATTGTAGACCCAAAGCACATACTATGCAGCAGAGTGTCTACGTATCCGTCAAAAGAGTTCCTTCCAGGAGCGATAAAAGAGCGAGTGCGTATGAGAGAAATCGATCTACAACGATCTACCCATATTCAGCTTTCGTTATTCTCGAGCGATTGTCGAGCGGAATCAGAACCACTGTGTAAAATTTACACGAAGAACATAATGCATTTCGGCGAAATTAATTCGACGAATCCGTAGACACTGGAAGACACTGATGAATGCAGTCGCGCGGTAATCGCATTTATATAAAACTTCGGGATTCCGGATGGGGATGATTTTGCCAATGCTCGTAATATCGTAATAATGCCTGCACCCTCTCGGGAGATAAGCGTCGGAATTTCATATCGCGACTATTGCCCTGACGTATCGCGGCTCTTATTAAATTAATTCTGAAATAATCTAGAAAATGGAATAGATAATAATAAGCGATCTGCCTTACGTAAGGTGCAGGCACGACATGCGAGCAGGTTGAAGCCATTGAAATCTCGTGAAGAAAATGAAAATGGGTGGGCCGCACACGTTTCACATTCAGGTGAAATATTTATGATGTGTCTAGACCGGCCTCGGATCGTGGAACGATAGTGCGTGTAAGCAGCTATTGTGCTCCAAGCCGGTTTCGTGTGGTTCCATCGCGATTACAATTTAATGAGACCCGCCCAGATTACGATCGTGGAAAAACGGAAAGCGGGAACAAAATTAATTTTGTGGAATGGTGAACACGACTAAAGCGGATTATAGAAGAGAGAGGAAGAGGCGCTCTCTCTCTCTCCCGTAAGCAGATATTATAATCTTTTTAAATTAGAAAGGCTCAGAAAACTTCATCTTCGTAAATGTTAGCTTCGCGCGAGAATGTGCAACAAGCTTACGTCATAAGCTAGCAAATGTGTCAATAATTCGAAATGTTTATGTTACGTTTGTGTTATGTTTCACTGTAGCAGAATATCGTGCGATTAATACACCAAATTAAGTGTTACAATCAATATGAAAATAGAATCAAAATTGGTTAATGGAAATTATGAAACATGAAAGAACAAAACATGCTTATATATAATTTAGAAATGCATCTTATGCAAATTTTATGAACATGATCGACCGTTTGTGTTTGAAGCGGTGAATAGCTATATACAGTTTTTGAAATGATAATAACCGAAAGTGGAGTAACTCTTTATAGAAACAAAATTTTATATAAAATTTTATTTTCGATTTATCTTTTTCGGAAATCAATTCTTGATTGTGTCATTTCGGAAACACAATGTACATTACGTATATACTAGAAGAGAATAGCTTGTACGTTTCGGTGTGTTGTTATGGTAATTGCATAAGATAATTGAATAATTTGCATCGCTCAAAATGTTAATTGGAAATGCAATCAAGCGCTGCAGGAATTGATAAGCATATACATATTCTGAACTGTTAATTACATTTTCCTCCATTGAGAATTGAAGATTAAAACTGCGATTTTACGTTGATATGACAGCGATCAATCGTTTAAACATGAATCTAGAAATAACTGGCTTCGTTCTTTGTAAGTTTGTACAATCTCCGAGGTAGAATTATATAGATGTGTAAGACATCTCTGAATTAAGAGCAAGCAAGAAATTCAAATCTGGAAGTTCTACATTGCATTCGATGCTATCGAGTCGGAATACAAAGTCGTTCTCGATTTAGTTATTGAATCTCAGATTTATCCAAATTCAATTTCGTTGCTCGCGCATTGTTTCAATCTGTTCGACCCAACTGCAGCGATTTGCCTATGATATTACATCGTGCATGAACACAGAGCGATGTGCAATGTATAGCGTAGCAGCACAGCATAGACCGATAGAACTAGAATTTTTTTTTATACTCACAAGGACCATTGTTACTGTCGGGGGCTGCGAAACAGGGAGATACAACAAGACTTTAATTTCTAGTTTCCAGACAAGCAGTCGTAAGAACTATATGTGGAATAAATATCATGATCCGAAAATAATTAAACAATCTACTATGAAAGAATAATCGTAAATACGAACAGCCACTAAAAGTACATAATCAAAAAATATGTTCACTGAAGCCAAATATGTTTAAGTAAGGAAAAATATAAAATAAGATAAAACGTAGAATCGGCGTCAATTAATTTAAATTTTTCAAAATCTATGTAAAAATATTCAATTTTTCATTTCTTGGTTAAGATTATGTCATATTAAAAATATTATACTTTTTTATTTCTCCATTTTCCCCTAATTTCACCAAAATTGTTATGCGATTAGAATTTAGTAACCAACTACCATAATGTAGCAAAACTGACGAGTTTACTAAGTATATAGCCATACTAGCAATGTATCATAAGAAACCTTTCGGTAGTTTGAATAGCGTAAGTCCCATAGCCAAGTTACAAAATAAAACTGGGAACGGATATCCGATATAAGATTTATTTTAATATAACATTTTTATATATTGTTAATTAAAAAAGATACATGATAGGATAATAAAATATTTTGATCATTTTTGTCGACCCAGAAAATTTTTAACTAAATTTCATTTAGTAAATATAACCTTTTTGCTGCGCAACTAATAGAAAACAATCGCCAATTCTTATGTTTCTACTTTTTCATCATACCATACAACGTTATGTTTCATACGAAATTATTTACTAACGTGGAGTTCTTGTTTGTCATCTGATAACGCATGCCCGAGAATTTGTGTTGTATATTTTACTTACCCGTGTTGAAGTCCAGGGCGAACTCCTCAAAATCATTACCCTTAGTAATGCTGTATATGAGTTTGCGATTCAAAGGTGACTCAGCTTGAATGGATAACGCCAGAGGTGAATGTACTTCTATACTCTCGAGCACGCTATCCGTATAGAATTGCTTGTCAAATACCGGCATCGAGCGATCTATCACCTTCACGTTGACTGGCACCTCAATGGAGCAAGGCGTTATTCCTGCAATCATATTTAGAAGCTCATTTAAAACGGGATCAAGCGGAAAGCGAGTTATTGACTTTAGATTTAACCAACTCACCGCCGTCGTACGCGGCAATCGTAAGCTGATACTCGCGATTGTGACCTTCGAGATTTTGCTTTAATGATATTTCACCGGTTTTCCGACACACCTTGAACAGCTCCCCGTGACCTTTCTTCAATTCGTATCTCACCTCGCCATTATCACCGCTATCCATATCTATCGCATGAACCTGAATAATAAAAGTAAAATTGAAATCCATCCACACAAGACCGACGCTAAAATTAAAAAAAACATATTGTAAAAATCATATTCATATGTTAATCTGTCTACCTTTGTAATGACATCGCCTTTTTGGGCGTCGACGGAAACGACAGCATAATACGGTAGATTAACGAACATTGGACAATTGTCGTTGATGTCGAGTATAGTGACATTCACTATAACATGAGCTACTCTGGGCTTCTCCCGATCCGGCGGATGACTCTTTGCCTCGACGATTAATTCGTAGTGATCGCATGCTTCTCGATCGAATCGAATGCCGTTGGTTCGGATCGCACCGGAAGTCGGTCCGATTACGAACATGTCGGTGGGATTAAGAATGCTGAAGATAATGTGCTCGTTCAACGAGCTACCGAGGACGTTTACCACCACTACGGTTGTAATTTTCGTGGAGTTCTCCAAAATGGCCCCTTCATAAACGTTCTTTTGGAAGATCAAACCAGAATTCTCCGATTTTTCCACCATCACGTTCACCTGCGCCACGCTCGAGTACTTGCCATCTGACACTCGCACGTGAAGGAGATAGTTCTTCTTCATACGTTCCGGATTGTGAACCGTGATAATGCCGCTCTGAGCATCTATGTCGAAGGTGTGAGCCTTATTCCCGTCGATGATGTCATACCTAAACAAACGTGAAACGCATTATTCATCAAGCATGAGCTATATGTTAAATTTAATAATTCTTATGTATTTTTAATTAACAGTTGAAAAAGATTCTTCACATGAATGCAATTCGAGACTTATTCTCCTTTTACAAAAATAACGGAACGTAATAGAATAGAATGGTGCAACGTAAGCGGAATGTAGTTATTATTATCATGAATAAAGCTGTATTTGACAGCGAACGCGAAATACAAATAAGAATCTTGATAGCTAGAGAGCTCGCTGACATTTCAGCACGTACCTCAATGCTGTTCCCTCGGAGCTGTCAGGATCCACGGCGTTCACTCGAGTGACAGCAACGTTCTTGTACGTCGGCAGCAAAAGCGTGACGTTGTAATCAGTCTTGGAGAACTTGGGCGGACAATCGTTGACATCCGTCACGGCTATCATCACCTTGGCAGTCGTCTCGGACGAGAGCCTCGGTTTACCTAGATCAGAGACTTTCACGTGGAACGAAAACTTCGGAATCGTTTCGTGATCCAGTAGCATGACGGTGCGTATGGCACCGGTGCTGGAGTCTATGTGGAAGTACTTTCGCGGTAGATCTTCGACGATGTCGTAATTGAGCAGCGCGTTTAACTCGGAATCCGCGTCCTCGGCCTTGATGACCAGGGGCGCGCTTGAGTTGGTTAATACGAGAGAACCGATGCTGGCGCCTTCACTGATCTCGCCGCTGTACTCCGCCTGCAGGAAGTGCGGCGCGTTGTCATTCCTGTCGAGCACGTGGACGATGACATTGCAGGTGGCCGAGGCGCTGGCCATGTTCGTGGCCGACACCGTCAGATTGTAGAATTTGGTCTTCTCATAATCCAGCTGATTCTTAATGACGATCACGCCGGTGCTCGGGTTCACGAAGAACGTGTCGTCGCGATTACCGCGCACAATCTCAAACTGCAAGGACGACGTGCTCCGCGCCTCCACGTGCTTCACGTACGTGCCAAGCTGTTGGTTCTCGTATATCTCCGCGGATAGTTCCTTCTGAATGAAACGCGGTGGCGCGTTGTCGGCCATTTTCACCCTCACGTACACCGGCACGGTGTTCGCCAGCGCCGGGGAACCGTGATCGGTCGCCTTCACGAGAAGGGTGTACTCGGAGGTGACGCTCAGATCGAGCTCGCGTGCGACACGGATGAAACCGAGGTCTGGATCGATGCTGAGCGCATTACCAATATTGCCGGACGTGATCGAATAGGTGATCCTGGCGTTCTCGCCGCGATCCCGATCGATCGCGCATACTTGCACCACCGCCGCGCCGATCGGCGAGCTCTCGTACACTTTGCCCTGAATGATCTTGCTGATGAATTCAGGCGCGTGATCGTTATGATCGTGCACGGTGACGATTACTCGGGCGTAGTTGCGCTTAGCCGGCGTGCCTTGATCCTTGACCATCACCGTCAACACGTGCTCCTCGATTGTCTCCCGGTCGAGTGGCTGGTTCAACGTGATCGAGCCCAGCACCGAATCCACGTGGAAGATCTCGAGTGACGCCTGATTCTGCGCCGCGTGCAGGCTGTAGAAGACCTTCTTATCCTCATCCTCGTCGGTCGCGTGTAGCTGCAGGATCTTCTCGCCCTTCTCGACATTCTCCGAGATGTCGACGCGATACGTGTTCTCGGTAAACTCCGGACGGTGATCATTGATGTCGATCACCGTAACGAGCAGCTGCGTCAGCGTCGTGTGCACGCCGTCGGTTACGCCGATCGTCAGGTTGTAAAAGTTCTGGGTCTCCCAGTCCAGTCTCTTGGCCAGCAGCACGTTGCCGTTGTCGCGACCGATGAAGAACTCGTCGCGTTTGTCGCCGTCTAAAAGTCGGCAGAATTCAGGATGACTTTCGTGACTTACATCGCTTAATCCTCCCATCGTGAATACGCGCAATTGTAACATTTAAAATGGTATAACGAAAATTTTAAATTTCTTTTTTTTTTTTATAACGAGATAAAGCCTTATCCTTGCGTGTCAGAAGCTTCAAAGTTAAAAGTTGGATTATACTTTTGACATGAGAATGTTAAAAAAAAACGCGATATGTCCCACACGAAACTCTGTTTTGTGATCATCGTGAAAAACGGCCGTTCTTACCTAAAATGTCGTACCACAAAGAATCTCCGTCTTTGTCGCTGGCTTGCACGAGAGCGACTAGAAAGCCCGCCTCGTCGCTCTCCGTGACTTCCACACTTTGATTGTTTGTCTTGAATATTGGAGGGTTCTCCGATTCCTTCGGCGCCTCTACAACGCGAACGGAAACTCGAGTCTGTTCACTACGCTGGTGTTCTCCGTGATCGGTCGCTCGTATCTACAGAATATACAGCACGCGTAAAAGTTTCCATCCAAATCGAGTTTACGTTACGGGAATATCTGAATATGTCGCATTATAAAATCAGAATCTAAACGTGAATCAGAATCTTCAACGTGATGTAATATCATGTAAATTTTCTGTAATTTTTTCTTGTCCCAATATGTATTTCCTCTACTGTGCGAACTACTATACAATTTAACGCTACTTCACAGGAATAACGAACATTTATGTATTACATTTTACTTTTTACTGTTTTACTTCTAAAATTTTTCTATAAAGCAGGAGCGCACCACAATTTTAATGCAGTCTGCATTTGCAATTTGTGAGTAAACAATTCTCATAATATATATAAAGTACTCCTGGTTTCCATTTCCAAATTTTCCACTCCAAAATTCTGTTTGTTACCTTTGATTGCATAAAAAATTATGCTTTTTGTCTCTAATAAACAATTATTTATACACTTACACTCGTGAAAAGAAAATTAAAAATTACCATCATTTCGTATTCTTGACCAGCCTCAAATACACGTAGAGAGTATACCATCCCTGTGGTAGGATGAATTTTGAATTTGCCCCTTCGACCGCCCTTAAGGCTGTACTGGATTCTCCCGTTGTCACCGATATCTTCATCATACGCAAGAACCTAAATGCAAATTTCAAGAATTATCTCGCGTTATCGCATTACGATAAAAGTCAGTCTACTGCGATGGAAATTCATCCGGCATAAAAGAAACGTTAGTATATCGCGTGTAGTCTACAGCGGCATCAAGAAAACGCTGCAAACGAAAATTAACATACCCCATAAATAAATAGTAATCAGTGTCAGTTAACGCGAACATTCCTATCAAAGATCGCAAAGGTGATTCGAGGCGTCGATGCGCAAAGATCGCCTTTAAAAAGAAATCTCGCTTCTTCTATTTTTTCTTTCTTTTTACTATAAATAAGAGATACTTTTTCCTGCAATTCTCTAAACGCAATTCTCTCCGCAGAATGCATACTCAAGCTCGCGAGAGATAGAGAAGATGCAACTTGCGCAATTACGTTCCTTACGGCGTCGCGGAGAACAACGAGCCTTCGATCGAAGCGCAGCGTGGCATAATCCGCATGCGGTACATCGAGAAAGAGCTAAGATGACGTCGTGATAGCAAAATACAGCAGGCTCTTCCGTTCTATTGCCGGTGTGCCTCAAGCGTGCTAACGATCGTGATCGCGAAATGCCGCGGACTCCGGCCGCGAGAGCGGTAACCGAGCGAAACGCAAACCGTTGCGGTGCGACGCATGCACGAGGATGCACGACGCTCCCACGAGTGCATTCGCGTGTTATCCTCGACGAAACGGGCGAGTCCGTTTGCGGAATTCCGCGTGTGCTCGCGGAAAAAATACACTTCTCCATTACCTTTCGTTGTCTCCACTCTGGACAGTTTTCCTCTTTCCCACCGAATTTTCCCCGCGTATACTGACTCGCTCGTTTACGATGCTTCTCTTTCCGGCATCTTTTTCGAAAACTCCTTTTTCAAGAAATTAAAATAATCGCGATAAATTTTACTAATTGTTTTCGATTTCAATTTGTGCGGAAGAAGAATCTGTTTTGACGATTCTCTCGGCGCGCCTCTGATCCCGTTCTTGTCTCTGTATCTTATCTTATACGACACATGCACCTCTTCGCACACGCGTCATATTTGCATTATTTGCAATTTTGAACTTATATTCGGCGCTCGAGACGATACGCGATATACGGATACAACTCGCGATATCTCGTTCCGTTCTATTTTCTTCCAGCTGTGCATTCGGTCGTAAAAGTGAGCACCTTTCGATCGCGTATCTTACGTTACGCGATGTTACGCGATTGTACAATATAATCCTCGGAAAGAAGATATATTTCTTTGACTTCGGAGTAAAACAAGACTCGTGCCAAACTGGGAATCCAGCGGAAAATTTCGCAGTCGTAGACGACATCCTTGCTGCCCGCAAGATCCTCGGCGGTGTGCAATCATTAGTAGTGATAAGATAACGGAACATTCTCAGGCGGCAATCTCGCG